TCAGTGCTCCCTAAAAATTCATCTCCACCGAAAAATCTCCTACATTTGACCAACTTAGCCAGTTAAGATAACCGTCACAAATTTTAAAAGTATGCCAAATAGCTTTATAAATGACGTTTCGCTACCGTCGCCTCCCTAATGTCGGGCGTATTAACTCTCGAGCAACTGACGTTCAGTCAAAGTCAATCTCTGTATTTTAACGCCATACGTTAGTGGTTATGTCTCACGTTAGGTTGTGTGCTTTGGACTAAAAAGGGCAGGACGTTCAAGAAACGTACCCCACGTGGTTTTGACCCCGGCGGGCTAAAATTGACCGGATACCTCAGAGACAAATATACCGGTCACCTGGAGAGAGAGGCGACGGGGGAGAAGAGATAGGCTGGGAACGAAATTGATTTACAGTTTGATGTTTCTAGATAATAATAGCCTGCGATCATGCTCTCCCTAAAAAAAACGTAAAACGCCTATTCAAAAAAAAACGATGAAACATGAGAAAATATAGCTTTACACTATTTCCTTGTTTCCGTTTTCGTCTTTTGTGGCTATGGTTTGTATGTTTGGATTTTGTTTCAGTTTTGCTGTTTAATTTTGTATTTTTTTGTGTGTGTCTTTCCGGTTAAGGATGCTGATTCCGTTTTGGGATTTGTGTTTCTGTTTTCTGGTAGTGTTTTTCTGTTTTGGGTTTCCGTTTTGTCTTATGTGTTTCTGTTTTGTTTGTATTTCTGGTTTGTTCTCTGCTATTTTTGTGGTTGTTGTTGTCTTGTGTTTTTTTTGTTTCTGTCAGCCACCCTATATATTTGATAGTCCTCTGCATTTAAATCCAACCACTGGATAACACTTCAAAACTCCGTTGAAAATTTCTTCACAGAGATCAAATCGTTCAGGTAAGAAATAATCTTCTTTAACTTGGAATTTAGATATTTCTGCAACGTTTATTTTGATTTCCTGCTGAAGTTTTGCTCCCTCTCTTTTTTACTTAGAAGTAATTAATAATAAGTTTAAACCGGTTTGCGACCGCGAAGCAAAGTATGTTTGTTCCATGTTAAGAAAAACGTCCGCCTAGAATATTGTTTTGGCCGATTAGTGTTTCTCTCCCTTCGTTGTCTCCCTTTTCCGCTACTCTCTTCCACTTCGTTTCCACCCCTCCCCCGCCTCCAAACCCCCCACCCCTACCCCTCTTCACACAAGCAACGCCGGATATTCAGGATAATTTGTTTAAATGTGGATCTCTCGTGTTGTTGACGTCACAGATTTATAATAATTTTCATTTTTGTTTTCAATAGCTAACGAAGAAAAACCTAAAGACCTAAATGTACGTAAATTTGTGCAACTAAGTCTTGCATCGACTAATCAGAAATTAAGGTCATGAACTTATTTATTCAAGACATCTTTCCTCAAACAGCTGCCTTTTCCATTTTTCAATGTGCATTCGGACTATGTAAATTGTATTGTCAGAAAGGTTTTCAGGAAAATTACGGTTTATGAATTAAATAGCTTTTATTTCTGCTCTATGTAAGGCAAACAATTTAAAATTTGTTGTGGTTTTCTAGTTTGTGGTCTCTCTGAACTTTGCACCTAATGTTATTGTCGCCGGGCAGCGGACTCATTTTTGAGGATTGGATCAAGCCAATTTAACCTGTGTACAGCTACCCCCTTCCGCAAGAGAGAATGCCTCCCGTCAAAAAAAAAAAACATTTTATTAGTAACGGAACTTACGGGCCTTTAGCGGTTTCTTTTGCCATCCTTGCACAAGCATGAAACTAAACAATAAGGTCACAAACGATAGAAATATTTCTTTTTATTATATAAACACCAATGAAATACAAGGTGAGCTTTCACGCGAAAACATGATCTTCACATGTGAAACTTCACATGTGAAAAGATCACTGTTGCTATGGCTACATAATAAATCGCGCCTTTCGCAGGAAAAAATGTCTAACTGAAATGGTTTTGTATTTCATTGGTGTCGATATGATAAATTCTCACTCGTGAAATATTTTTCAACACTCGAAGAGAAATTTCGTATCTCCTGTATCTGCTACATATTCTGCCATAAAAACCTTAGGGACAGAAATGTTCCGATCCATACATTAAAGATGAATCAAAACCCTCAAAATTGATCTTAAAATCGACTTCAGAAAACCCGGCCCAAAAAGGCTGATTTATACCTCACACCAAAACAGGGACAATTGAGCTAAGACACTGGCATAATGTATAAGTCTCCATGATAGTAACTAAGTGTACCAAATTTGAGTAAAATCGACCGACACCTATTTCCAATCCTCCCTCAGACAGAAGCTCTCAACTATATTTTCATTTAGTATCACAGGAGTTTCAGATATCATGTTTAGTTTTTCTACTTAATGAAACCTTTCTTGCTTTCTGAATATTTAAGTCGGGTACAAAGGAGATTTTTTACTTTCAACTATAAAGTTTATAGAAAGAAGTTTAAAAGGAGTCTGCTTGAAATATTGTGTTATAACACCAATATTCAGAAATTGACAAAAAATTCAGAAGACTTGCCAGTTAGAGTAAATCTAGAATGGAAGGAGTGGAAAGGTCTAGCTACCTTATTTGTCTAATGGGAGCACATTCTAAGACTTTAAATGTATTAATGAGAATTATTTTTGTTTTTTCTTTACCTCCATGCTCCATTAAAGAAGCATTACGCCCAAGAAACAGTTCCACTTTGAATACTAAAACTTCAAAATGGCAGAAAGAATACTACAAGATATAGCTGAACAGAAAAAGCGTCTTGCAATAGCGCAAATCAATGAAAACACGGCAGAGAAAGCAAGTGCCTACTGCGATCTTGGCGAAGCTTATTACTTCGTCAGTGACTTCCATCAAGCAGTAGAGTACCTCAAGCAATACCTGAGCATTGCTGAGGAAGTCGGTGACAGAGCAGGATCAGCGGGACGTGCCTATGCCATTCTCGGCAGTGCTCACGATTCCCTCGGTGACTCCCAAAGAGCAATAGAGTACCACAATCAAGAGCTCAGGATTGCCAAGGAAGTTGGTGACAGGGCAGGTGAAGGATGTGCCTATGGTCATCTCGGCGGTACTTATTACAGACTTAAAGAATTCCAAAGAGCAATAGAGTACCTCAATCAACACCTCAGCATTGCCAAGGAAGTTGGTAACAGGGAATGTGAAGGCAAAGCCTATCACAATCTCGGCCTTGTTTATGACAACCTTGAAGAATTCCATCGAGCAATAGAGTACTACAATCAAGAGCTCATCATTGCCGGCAGAGCTCACGATTCCCTCGGTGACTCCCAAAGAGCATTAGAGTACACCAATAAATACCTCAGCATTGCCAAGGAAGTTGGCAACAGGGAGTATGAAGGCAAAGCCTATCACAATCTCGGCCTTGTTTATAACAGCCTTGTAGAATTCCAACGAGCAATAGAGTACTACAATCAAGAGCTCATCATTGCCAAGGAAGTTGGTGACAGGGAAGGGCAAGGCAAAGCCTATCTCCATCTCGGCAAAACTTATCACAGCCTTAATGAATTCCAAAGAGCAATAGAGTACACCAATAAATACCTCAGGATTGCCAAGGAAGTTGGTGACAGGGCAGGTGAAGGACGTGCCCATGGCATTCTCGGCGCTACTTATCACAGTCTTAATGAATTCCAAAGAGCAATAGAGTACTACAATCAATGCCTCAGGATTGCCAAGGAAGTTGGTGACAGGGCAGTTGAAGGACTTACCTATGGCATTCTCGGCACTACTTATCACAGCCTTAATGAATTCCAAAGAGCAATAGAGTACCACAATCAACACCTCAGGATTGCCGAGGAAGTTGGTGACAGGGTATGTCAAGGCGAAGTCTATTTCAATCTCGGCTTTGTTTATCACAGCCTTCAAGAATTCCAAAGAGAAATAGAGTACCACAATAAATACCTCAGCATTGCCAAGGCTTTAAGCTTTCTGTTGATATGCGATTTGCATGCGTTTACATCTTTCTTCGGCAAAATTTTCCCTTGTACTTTTACTCTCTGTTTCACGCACACTGAGTTCTCAGTCCTTCAAGAAAAATTGAGTATTTTTGTCGAAAATTTTCTCGCTGGGAAACGTATTATTGCCAGGTATGTTATCGTAAACAGAAGACCTGAAACCTCGGCTGTGTTTTCCTCGTTTTGGTTTTTTACCGGATGCCTCTGCTTCTTAGAGATTTTTGCGTTTATATGGTTCGCTGAGCGGTTTACATGGGGAGCAAGTCACGAAGAAAGAGCACTACATCGAAGAAATGCAAGTCAAATTTTCCTGTTGAGGAGCTCAGTAAGCAGAGGACTACTCTTCGAGCGGAGTACCTTTCGAAATCAATGGAAATTTGTACCTTAAAAAAGGGCTTCAGCGCCTCAAGAATAAGGTAAGTTAAGCTTGAAAAAGGTTTTTTTAGTGAAAGGAGAGGATACCGTGTGGCACGAAAATTTTGCGGGTTCTTATTTTTGCGATTTTTCCATCGATCCGCTAAAATTTACTCCAGAGTAAATGTTCTCTAAGTTAAATTCGCTACATTCATTTCGTACAGAAGAAGTGGGAAGAAGTTGATAAAATATCAAGCAAACTCATCTTGTGTGATCATGTCCGCAATTCTCATGACCACTCTGTTTAACCATAGTTATTAGAGGAGACTGGTTATGAAAAGCGGCAAACATCAATGATAAAAACAACAGTGCTGCAGTTTATGTTCAAAGCACCGTGAAAGTGCACAATCCTTTGTTTTCTGTTGGCAAATTGTTACGGAATAAATTAATGCAACGTTTTTATTGGTCAATACAATCAAAATGATAGGAATTCTTTTGAACGTTGTGCACTTTCAGGTCCACAAAAACATATAACAAAGGAGTCTGACGGGTTTCATAACCATTCCACTCAATTAACTATGGTTTAACAAAGTATTTATATTACAAGGAGAAATTTGATGCTGATCATTCATAGGGCTTAAAGGGTTAACTTATGTTCTTGGACTTTCAGAAAACTCGCATAAAAGAAAATGTTGATTCGGTAAAAGTTGATCTTCGCGCTGTCAAGACTAAAAGAAGGTTAGTTTTTGAAGTGACAGCTAACACATCCACTCTAAGAAAAAAAAAAGTCCAACTGTGCTCACTGATGAGGGAAAGCTAAACGTGCCGCAGCGAAGTGCCAGCAGAAGACAACTTGAAACGTTGGTTGCAGCAACAGAGGTAAATGGTGGATCTGTTGAAGACAGGTCCCCAGCCTTGGATGGCATGTTTTCTACGCTGACTAAATATGCGAAGACAGCAGCTCTATCTAAATACTTTTCTTCATCAAAAAAGATGAGAAAAGCTAGTCTAGCAGTAATAAAACCTCAGGTTAAGCAGTATGAGCAAAGTGATCATAATGTCATTCGTCCACTTTCTATGCTTTATGCAGGAGGATTGATGGAAAAGGTAAAATATGAACAAACAAGATCAGCTCTTGTTATGAAAAATACTAAGAAACACACCAAGAAACTAGGTTCTGTATCAAAAGAAAGAGTTTTGTTTGGTATGGGTATCCCATTCCGGTGGTTTCTTGGTGTTGCGGATCACCAAATGACGTCACCTTTAGACCGTTTTGTGTTTCTCACTATCATAAGGTTCAAGTTTTTATTCAACCTTTACAAATCCTCTTTTCGGCAAACGAAGGCAAAATTTCTGTCGGTTTGTCAGTACCGACAAATTCACTGACAACTTTTGACTTAATTAAGCAAGGGTTCAACTGACATGAACTGACAAACCGACAACTGACAAATTTTGTCGGTTTGTCAGTACCGACAAATTCACTGACAAATTTTGACTTAATTCAGCGAGAGTTCAACTGACATGAACCGACAAACCGACAACTGACAAATTTTGTCGGTTTGTCAGTACCGACAAATTCACTGACAACTTTTGACTTAATTCAGCGAGAGTTCAACTGACACGAACCGACAAACCGACAACTGACAAATTTTGTCGGTTTGTCAGTACCGACAAATTCACTGACAAATTTTGACTTAATTAAGCAAGAGTTCAACTGACATGAACCGACAAACCGACAACTGACAAATTTTGTCGGTTTGTCAGTACCGACAAATTCACTGACAAATTTTGACTTAATTCAGCGAGAGTTCAACTGACATGAACCGACAAACCGACAACTGACAAATTTTGTCGGTTTGTCAGTACCGACAAATTCACTGACAAATTTTGACTTAATTAAGCAAGAGTTCAACTGACATGAACCGACAAACCGACAACTGACAAATTTTGTCGGTTTGTCAGTACCGACAAATTCACTGACAAATTTTGACTTAATTAAGCAAGAGTTCAACTGACATGAACCGACAACTGACAAATTTTGTCGGTTTGTCAGTACCGACAAATTCACTGACAAATTTTGACTTAATTAAGCGAGAGTTCAACTGACATGAACCGACAAACCGACAACTGACAAATTTTGTCGGTTTGTCAGTACCGACAAATTCACTGACAATTTTTGACTTAATTAAGCCAAGGGTTCAACTGACATGAACCGACAACGAACAACTTTTAGTTCCTGAAATGAAGAAGAGATGTGATGTGGCCGCATGTCAAGTCTTGACAATTAAGCCCATGTGTATCAGTTAACGCTTTGGTGACGGCCAGCGAGAAACGAAAAAAAGATGTTTTCACCATTTCCCTTCTTGAACTGATTTTTGACTATCATAAGAATGGCCAACAATGAGGTTTGCAACAGAGAGGGCATATTTCCGAGAAAAAGGATGTAATTAAACAGAAAAATTATTATAAACATTTTTGTTCGCAGAAGCCCCGGCGCTCAAACCAAAATTGGAACTTTTTTTTAGGATCTATTTCGATCTTTCTCAGTCTCGCTCTATGTATTTTTTTCTTTGCCTTCCTTCTTTATAAACTGTTTCATTGCCCACTTTATCTTCTTTCTTTTGCATTGAATTGAGGCTGCCTAATTTTTAGTAAAAGGGCAATTTTAATCTTCAAAGATTAGTGCAGGTAAACAGCTAAATGGACGGTGGATTTTCTCCCAAAATGTTACTTTTCTTAATTTTCCTAGTAAGTGTAACTCTGTTAGGATTGCTCAGAATATCCTGAGAACGAGGCATCGATGGAAAGATATATATTTGATGACGTTGTTACTTAGCAACTTATTTATAGGTTAAAGTGAAAGCTTTTAAAGTGGGGACGGGAGTGAAAATATGCATACTTTCATATGGAAGGAAAACGACCAAAGGCAAAGGGCCAGTAAAAGAAAAACGGAAGTACACGCATAATGTTGCTGGCACAATACGAGTTTAATAATCTCATCTGTATACAGTATCATGTCCATGCCTTTCACATGAATTTTGGGACCAAAAGCAATGTGAAACCACCATGATAAGGCCTAGTGGCACAATCGACAAAACTCAACAATATATAATTCATTTGAAGTGTAAATCTCTGATCACCTTTATAGCTTTATAGTCTTATTGTAGATCAAATAATCTGATTTTGCATTTCATTCTAAATGAATGTGCATGCCTAAATTTCAATTTTAACCAGTCAAGTACGGCGTACAACGGCAAGTATATCACATACTGGGTGTCAAATCAAATATCAGTATTAATATAACGGTAGCCTGCGTAGCATGGCGGTTTTGTCGAGCGACGCGCACGAGCGGCGAAGCCAGGAAAATGAGAAATCCGCGCGCGGAGCGCGCGTGAACGATAGTTGAAGCCGCCCCAATTTCCTTCAGGTTTCTCTGCCCTAGCCCTCCTTTATTACTTTGCCCTCCCAACCAAAACCGCCATGCTACGCAGGCTAACATACCGGTAAAGTATATAACGACAACGTGTTTCAAGCCTTTCTTTTTTCTTCTAATACATTAAAAATGAAACGTATTGTTGTTGTAAAATAGCCATAACCGTTTGCGCTTCCAAGGTCTTCTGTGAAATAGTACTCTGAGAATGAAGCCCTATGCATACCCACACTTTAAGAATTCGGAGTACTGAACGATGTCTTAAAGATGTGTTAACAGTCCTTGTCCATGATTTGTCTATAATAGCTAGTGAAATTTGACTGCAATACTGTGAAGAACTCTAATATCTGTATAAACACGCGCGTTATTCCAACGTTACTCACATTGAAGAATTGTGACTGGCTAATCTCTGCTGGCCAGTAGATAATCAGGTTTATTGCAAGTTTTGCTTACGCTTCTTAACCTTACGCGGATAGTTCTTGTGTAAAACTATTGTTATTTACAGATCTGGGTGTGCTTCCCTAAAGATAGCAGCTTCAGTTCTCTGAAGCATGTTATCTTCTTTTCTAAACTGTGCAATATAAGCTTCTCGGTCTACTAGTAAATCGCCTGCTGGCAACTTTCCCGGAACAACCTTCAAGAAGGCCTTGTGGACAGCTCCTCTGCAATGTAGTGTACCGTAACCAAGTTCTTGGAGGGCACGCATTTCGTTCACAATGGCCTCTGTCCGCGCACTGCGAGTAAGCCTACGGATAACGTTTCTTGGCTTTACAAATGGCCCAGGGTGTAGCAAGATTTTACTTCTTAAGTCATCATTGTTGACAGCATCGTCGTCGTTTTCAGTTAATTCTTCGCAGCACTGTGAATGAAAGGTTTTGTACACGATGTTTTAGGCCAATCTTTCAGTCACGGTCATTGTAACGTACAGAGGAAGGAAACGGCCGCGGTGTTCACGGCAATACATTTTGAGTTACAAAAGTTGGTGAGTATATGAAAATGACATAGCAGTCGACATAGATCATCCTCACAAGCGAGTCTCTCTTAAATTTCAAAAGTTAACTAAGCGTCGCTTTTAGTAAGGCCAAAGTGAGGAGAAAAGAGAGCGCCGACAATACGATAAAACGTTTCCCAACAATTTTTTCTGTTGATATAAAAGCATTTTTTCAGTGTATTTTCCATTGTTTTGTCTCCGTCAAAAGAGGAAAAAAATAGAGCCTCTTTCAAAGTGAACAGACCACATTATTTATCTTTAACTGACTAAAGAATAGTTCTCTTACCTTTTCATAGACTCCTCTCTGCGAAGCAAAATATTTGGTGAGCTCGACGGCTTGGGCTATTGTTTCCTTGCTAATTATCATGGGGACTGTTGTTGGGGATCTTCCTTTAAGTTCCTCACCAAGAACAAAGTACAACACGTGCAAATTCAGCGCCAAACGCAAGCAGGTCTTCTTGTCTTTAGACAAGTTGCCATGCATCCCCCTTCTCTCCCGCCATTGTTCATTCAGCTTGTCAGCAATCTCATTCGCGTATCTTCTAAAGACCACTTTCCCGTCTTCTGACATGCTGTACTCTCGTGCTGCAGCCTTGTGGAATTCTGCCACGAAGCTGTACACACGGGACAATTTCACGTTTTGGTAGGAATCAACTAACACTTCGTTCCACTCGTCTATCTCTTCTTCATGGAGGGCTACAGATGGTGGAGTTGACAGCAGTAGACGGTCGGGAAAACCATCGTTCCGGCTTGTTAGATGTAAGTAGGTGTCAATAAATGGCTCAGGTTGGCTGTACCCTCCGATAATGACACATGGGTTGGTTACTTCCATGCGGTCGCTGTTTCCTGTTATTCGAGACCACATAGAGCCATCATGAAGACGACAAAATAACTGGCGTTCCCCGGCTCCCTCTACTTGCCGCTTTAAAACGCTTTCTAGGAACATTCCCAGTTCGGAACTGATGAGAAGTGCCACGCCCCCATGTCTTTCATTCATCAAATGGTCGAAGAGTCCTGCTTGAGTGTATCGGTCTACAATTAAGCCAGCAAGTTGACATTCAGCGAGAGGCCTGGTAACCACTTCAAACGCTGCTGATTTACCCGCCCCAGGATCAGCGAGGCAGACACTGTAGAGTATCGCACATTCTTTATAGTTGGGTCGCACTATGAGTTTAGTAGTTCCCCCAAGAAGTCCTCGTAATACAGCCAAGAGACCCATAAAGATTTGCTCAGGAGAACTTGAGACACTGTGTCCTTGGACTTCTAGAAAGTCAGTAATTGGCTCGGGTGCAACTAGCTGCCAATTTATGGCACCTACTTGTTGTGCATGGAGAATGTTTTCATTTAAGGTAGCATGTCCCACGCGGGCACGTTTTGAAGGCCGCATCCTCTTTCTCCTTAAAAAAAAAAACGCGTGACGTTACATATGTGAAAGATGGCGTGACGGTTATAGTAACATCACCCTCAGTGATTTCGTTACCATTTCATATCTTTTTTCCTGGCGCCTTTTTCTTCTTTTGTGACTGTGACGAACATTTCTGGGAATATTTTCTTACTTTTCCTAGAATCGGTATTGCATTTTTGCAAGATTAGAAATTTGTTGAAAATCTACGGTCCACCTGCCCTGTACGTGATTGGCTGCAAACAAATAAAACACTAGATGTAGGTCGCGAAAGGAATGCCGACAGTGTTTGCTTTTAAGTTACAGCCGAAACATCTTACCTTTGCTAGCAAATTTGCTCAGAGCTTTTACCACGTTGACTGTTCTATCTTGTTTGTCAAAAGCGCTCTGAAGGACGAAATGAACAGTTTACTACACAAACGAAAGTCGTCCAACTACACTATTAACGCGGAGTAAATGTTAAAAAAGTGCGCGCAAATTTTCAACCAATAATGCTTTTATACAGTGCCGACTACCAGAACCAGTGCACTTGCAAGAATATTGTCCAATCACAACGATGTTCAAAAGCCAACTGACGATTGCGTTTTTCGCTGCCGTCAATCATCTTAACGAACCTCTTAGGAAACAAAACTTTACTTTAGCGGGTTCAAAAGGTCAAGGTTTGTGATTTGTGATTGGTGGATTTCGATCCGTTTTGTGTGTTTCTGTGGGCGCTTTCCATTTAGGAAAAAAACCCGGAAATTTCGGTGGTAGCAAAAGTGGAATTTCCGATTGGTAAAAAGTTGTTTCATTTGGTCGTAAACCCCGGTACGTGGCGTTTCCCGACCGTGGACCTGGAACTGGTACAAACTACGAGAAACGTAAATGGAACACGACATTCCGTTCGGAAATTCCAACCGGGAAAACGGGACCACCTTTTTAGATTTTCCACTTTTTCTGGAAATTTTCCAGTGGGACGAACCGACGAAACGTGTTCCATTTACCGCCGAACCGGAAATTCCGGAAATTTTGACTAAATGGAAAGCGCCCTGTGTTTCCAGGTTCGTTGCTTGTGATCGTAATTATGATTGACGGCAGCGAAAAACGCAATTGTGAAGGCGGTTTTTGAACTTTAGGGCGCGATCCATTCAACCAAACTTTCCGGAAATTTCGGTCCAAAACTCAATGGATCGGTTCGGTCCAACCGGAAAAGTTACGAAAAAACAGGTCCACCTTTTGAGATGGTCCTCTTTTCCCGGTCGGACCGGTCTGAATGTTGGTTGAATGGATCGCGCCCATAGAGTTCGCATGTTTGTGAAAAGCGCAGTAATAAAAGTGGAGGCCAAAATCCACCAATCACTTACAAGCGTTCCCACGCCTCGTGTTCGTGTTGTTCACCGTGTTTCATTTTGCCTTGACTTAGTCATGTCGGAAGCAAGTCAATTCTCCACGTTTATTCTCTTTACATTCCTTCTAGTAGTAAATATTTCAGACGGCGTGGACGACAAAGTCTCGGCGTATATAAAAAATGTTATTGAACTGCACTCAAGTTCTCAGTTTCCTCCAAGCCCGTTGCCTTTCCTAAGGCATTGTGTTCCTACTTCCGCGCATGGCGATTCTTCTGAAGAACCAGCATATTTTAAATACCCTGTTGTTATCATTTGGCAACCCGAGGTTCAGTTTCCCGGTTTTTTTCCTCATGGAATTCCGTGCTGCGAAGAACATTGCGGTGGAAAACTCGTGAAAACTTCATTCTGGACCAACGGCACCACTGAGCGTAAAAAACCAAGAACCATTCATGACAGTGGAGAAATCTGTCTTCTTGTAACGGTGTACTACGTTTGCCAAAGAGATGGAAGACATTGCTTTGCGGCAACTCATCCCGCAGTCCTAGCACAATTTCCTGATCCGGCGGTTGTACCATTTGTTCTATTGCATAAAGCTGGTATAACGAGAGATCTCCTATATCAGATTTTAAAGCTTGTAAATGTTGGAATGTCATTTTTGGAAATTGAACTGTTTTTACGGGAGGTAAGAAGAGAACGTCACTGTCAGCGTTATTTGAGCGAATATGCCTATAGCCGTGACCGTAAGTTGTGGCCCGAAAATGTTGTACCTGAACATGTTGACACACCACTGAGTAACGACTTGCTTACACATTTCTATATTGAGTACTTTAAAGAAAACGAGGAGTTTTTTCACAATGAGATGAGGAAAATAACTGCATCATGGTTGTCTTGTGACCACACCTTTAAGGTGGCAAGCAATATAGGAGTACTTCGTAACGGGAAGTGGATGAAGCAGTACGATTCCCTCTTTGCGGTAATGAACGAAGTTGGTCAAGTGGTTACTTGGCAATTAGTTTATGGCCAGTCTTACTCCACCATCGAGACTTTATTAACCTCCTTAAAGGCAAGACTCGACAAGAAAGGGTGTTTACCGCAGGGCATTTGCATTGATAATTGCTGTCATTGGCGGAATAAACTTCAGAAAACTTTTGGCTCTTGCATACAGGTAAAACTAGATATTTTCCATGCTGTACAAAGGATAGGACTTGCAATGTCTAAGAAACACCCTTTTCATTGGAGATGTTTGAAGGAGTTTTCGAAAATCGTTAGGCAAGATGGAGATAACGGAGAGGAGCGGCTTCAATCGACACCATCCCCTGAAATTATTCTGCGGAACTTACGAGAATTTTTAAGTAAATGGAGTCCAGTCAAGTACAATGGCATCCCTGTTCTGACGGATAAGGTGCATGAAGAAATTAAGAAACTTGAGAAACACATAAACAAAGGATGTCTTTCAAATATCCCCAGTGGTGTGGGAACCAACAGAAATGAGAACATGCACAGGTGAGTTGATAGAGGAATGTGCAGGCTTGAATGCAGTTACCACTGTAACAAAATCAAAAGTCGCGAAGTAATCGGAACATTTTGTTTCTGCGACACTAATAGGCCCTTTGAGGGACTTGGTCACGTGACCATTCGTAAGCAAAAATTATGGGATACGGCTCTAAAAATGCCTTAGATAAAAAGAGCACGATAAAATTAGCTATAAGGCCAATTTTGAGGAGACTGACACACAAGACAAAGATTTTATAGCTGCTTGAATTTCTGGAAAATTATAAGGATTGGTATGGAAAAAATCGCTGCACCGCACTCCATGCGTTTCAGCAACTTTTTTCATACAAATCCTTATGTGACAGGCTCCTCAAAATTGGCCCTCTGACTAATTTTCTCGTGTTCTTTCCATCTAAGGCATTTTTAGAGGTGTATCTCATAATATCTTAAGAATGGTCACGTGACCAAGTCCTGGAAAGGGCCTATAGAACGATACGGCTTGTAATAATAAGGCAGGCGCCAACAGGGAGGAACTGGCGCAAAGTATGATTAACTAGCACCCAATGCTTTTAGGTTGTTGCTTTCCTTTAGATTTTGACTGTGTCTATCAACTAAGCGCAAATAAAATTGGTGAAACTGCTTGAAAGTTTGTTGGAAAGCCATCTGTTCATGTCCACATACAGAAAACTCTTCAGAATGCAGTAGACAGAGCAATATTATCTGATAATGGATAGATGTAAAAAAAGATGTGATTCTGACTGTTAAATGAACAACCAAGGCGGCTGAAAAAGAACCTGAAAAAATCGCAACGCTCTATCGGTACTCGTCAAAAATGCCACTTTGCGATTGACTGTAAATTTCTCGCAATAACTATAATTGTTGCGCAGAAAACCAAAATTTTTAAACATTGTTAAAGCGAAGGGCTAACAAATCATGTTTAAAGTACTTGTCATCGCGAGGAAACCCTCACGCCAACTTGGGAGTATCTTTTGGTAAGTGTTTAGTAGTTTCTTAAAAAGAGTATAAAAAGCATAATGTTACCGTAACTCGCTGGAATATTTCATTTTGACCATGATGATTTCATATACCTAGATCCCTAAACAAGGACTTGAAGAAAAATAGAATTGGAGTGATCCTTGCCTTGGCTATTTTAACTCAGTTCTTTTACTCCTGGAATCAGCGGAAGTCAACCACCCCAGCCAAAAAGGGATCCATACCCCCTACCATTTCTCCCTTAGAGAGAAAGTTAACCAGAAAATACCTTTCTGAAGAGGAACTCGAGAAGTGTTTGGCATTGGGATCAATCAAAGAAGGGTCATTAGCGAGGAGAACGAGCAAAATACGTGTCAACCTCTGACTAGTAACTCAGAAGATCTTTTGAATTTTCTTTACGATAAAAAAGAGCATCGTGCCAGTCAAAACGAAGAAGAGGATGATCAGACTAAAGAGCACGATATTACCCTTGACAACAATTTAGTAGATATTTTGTACAGAAGCGTTTGCATGTTTAATCTGGCAGAAGATATTTCAAGTTTGACAAAGTCCAACTCGTTTGAATTTCGTGATCTTTCTTTTATGGATGATGTGTTGAAAGGTTTTCCATTTACAACTCCAAACAACGATGAGAACCATGGAGATGAACATGAAAGTAGATTGAAGACTGTTTTAAAGTCGTATGGTTTCAAAAGGTGTCCAGTGGAAGGTGATGGGGACTGTCTTCTAGCAGCAATTTTTCTTGAAGTGCAACGTTTATTGGAATCTGACAGTGTAACTACATTATCTAACCATCTGAACTGTATTGGATTGTTTGTCACGACTGTTCCCTGGGAGGCGGTGACGAAATTACGAAAACTCATGGTTTCCGAGTGGCTACAGAATGAAGAATACTACGGATTAAAAAACTTGTACGAAAACGAACAAGACATTCTTGCTTATGAAAAACCTGGCGTATTTGGCGGGGGACTTGGAGATGCAATGCCCCTTGGACTCGCTAATGTCTTGCGACTGCCGATCGTTATGTTTACGTCTATCCGCAATTTTCCCCTTGTGGCCATCAGCCCACGAGAGCAGGTTCCTGACGCTAAGCCCATATTTCTGGCATACACCCAACAAGGTCCAGGACACTATGACATCGCCAATTGCATCCCATCAGTACACAACTGACACCTGAAGAAAAAGAGGCGAGTGAAAAAGTACCCCCTCTTTCCAATGAAGTCCAAAACTTCGGTTGCCGCTGTGGCCAAGGCAGGGATAGAAAAAATTTGTCAAAAATGCGTTGTCAGATTCCCCCTGGCAAGTTTTCTTGTCGCTGCGAATGCTTTAACAGAAAGGAGAGCTGTTCTGCCTCCTGCCAATGTAAAAACTGTGGCAATATATACGGAAAAAGACTAGAATGGAAATCGGAGGACATCAAGCGACCAAGGAAAAGAGCAAAACATGCATCTCAGAGAAGCAAGCAGTCATCGCTATGTTTTTTGAAAGAGAGAGGAGAGGGACTAAAGGTCAGTGGGTGGACGAAATTGGAACATTGTTTGTTCGTTCATACATTGAAGCATTTTGAGCAGACGAAGGATACCTTTACCACCAGTGACTTGCATGAAATGTATAATGCCTTGGTAGACGTCACTAGAAAAACTACGAATTTAAAAGGGCTAATTGTGTCTGAAAAGAGTGAGAAGGAAGTGAGCGCAAAATATACCCATCACTGCAAGGAGGCTGCGCTCTTCAGATCACTTCTTGAGTGAACCACTAACAATTTAAGTGAGTAATGCTTCCTTTTAAGTATTATCTTCAAACTCACATTATTAGTGCTTCACGCAAGAAAAACACTTCTCTAGCTGTAAAGGAATTAAGCTGGTGACACTGGTATAGAACAGACAGTATGATCCTCTGTTGTTCCACTTAGAGCGGATCATGTTATAGAATACACCGAAAGCTGAGTATCTAGGGGCCTTTTCAAAAAAGGAACTTGTTGTCCTTGTTGAAAGTCCCCGACATTCAGATTCTGGAGGTAGAGTAAAAGAAGACAAAACAATGGGTGATTATATTTAGAAGTTTCGCAATCTTACTCTACCACTATTATTCGAGCCGTTTACAAAGATATCACATTTGTAGTATATCGTAAAGCGTATACGAGGTCTTACTCTGTCGGCGTATACAAACAAATCAGATTGGTACAATGTATGAACCCTTTTCCTGCCGTATCTGAAGTTTTGCAAATGCTGAACAACAAATTCTCCCTATAAGCATGCTCATTTTTACATTTGTACTTTCCATGCTCTTAGGATGAATTGTATTAAAACACAGTGCTATTTGGAAATTAAAGAACAACCAGTGATTTTTGTTTACTGTATTAGACGGTAAATATTTATAAGGGTCTAGTTTTAAAGTTTACTCAGGTAGGAAGTTTATGATATTTCAACCAAGTTGCGTTTATTTACTTTACCGTTATGTTATTAAAGACGCCTCTGAATGGGTATTTCCCACAAAGAAACCGAAGTGGTGACGATACCTCAAAGATTGGTAAGGCAACCATGTTAGAGATTAAAGCGACGATCGCTACCTTTTCAATAAAGTTTGAAAACGTTAGTCCGGCGTGATGCACTTACAAAAATTTTGTTTTGGTTATTTTCCACTTTTCGTCTTCGTTGTGATGCTCTGAGCTCGCTATTAGCTATAGCTTTACAGTGCAAAATAATTAATTCCATTAAAGGCCACTATTTCGCCTGCAAAACCGATGGATGGAAAAACAACGAGAAACAAAATGGACGTCGGCAAGTGCCCATACAGAGGCTCTATAGTGATACTTGATTTGACAACAGGAATGTCATATACTTGCCATTCTACGCTGTAATTGAATGGTTTCAGTTGAAATTTAGGTATGCGCATTTATTCAAAAAGAAACACAAAATGAGATTATTAGCGGAGCTCTCGCGCGCGAAGCGCGCAGCGGAGCACCATGGGTAACAAAATATGGTAAACTACCCATCCGAGAAAATTTGGTAATCACGTGACCGTACACCGACCGCCCGCCCGACCGTCCGTCCGCACCACAGGCATGCCAACGCAAAATTTCGGGTAGTCTGTGGTGAGGGTTTTTTGGCGCGAAAACGAATGGCAACCCGCGTTTTGTGAAGCATAAACAACTCTATTAGAAGTTCAGGAACGTCAACTGAGAAAAAAAGAAATTTTTCGTGTCGGTTGACATTTTTTATACATCCGTATTTTCTACATTATTTATTTATTATGCCCTCTAGTTTGGAGTATAGAGATAAAGAGAGGCAGAGAAAACGAGAAAGTAGGCGGCAAGCAAGCCAAGCTCAACGAGAGAGAGAGCGGCAGAGAGCTTGAGAAAGGAGGCGAAACTGCTCTGACGAGCAACGGGAGAGGGAGCAAGAAAGAAACAGAGAAAGGAGGCGCAATTTTACTGACGAGTAACGGGAGAAAGAGCAGGAAAGGCATAGAGAAAGGAGGCGCAATTCCCGGGCGCAATTTTACTGATGAGCAACGGGAGAGAGAACATGAAAGGGATAGAGTCGAGAAAGGAGGCGCAATTTTACTTATGAGCAACGGGAGAGAGAACAGGAAAGGGACAGAGAAAGGAGGAAACATTTTACTGAGGAGCAACGCGAGAGAGAGCAAGAGAGAAACAGAGAAAGGAGGCAAAATTTTACTGACGAACAACGGAGAAAAGCGCAAGAAAGAGAAAGGGAAAGGCGACAAAATTTCACTGAAGAGCAACTGGAGAATGAACGAGAGAAAAGAGAAAATAGACGCCTAATAAGCGACGAGCGGCGAAGAAGGGAGCGAGAGACAGCAAGGGAAAACAGGCGTCGTATAAACGAAAAACGAACGAGAAGGAGGAGAAGGTGAGCGAATTTTTGCCGAGGTTAGCTTTCTGTTATAAGAATCGGGGATTTTACGAAAACAGAGGTAGCTTTTGTTTTGTTTGTTAATCAATAACCTCTTTGTAATTGCATCAGTTTTTTTGGACCAATCACCACACGTCATTTGTTGTCACGCAGTCTAGAGTTGATACTTTTATCATCCAATTGAAGTTGACCTGTGTCCTCCAAGTTCGTTGAAGAGAAACGATATGATTGAAATTTCACTTTAACAAGACAGTCGCGTCCAAGATAAAATTATAGAGTAACCTTATAATTCGTGCTCCTCGGTGTATTTTCGTTGTTTCTGGCGCGGAAAATAAGGTAATCTTAAATTGTATTAATGAAATTTTATCGAAAATTATAACCATTGCCATGTGTCCGATGCATCGCTGAATGAATGATAACTCCTTATGTAAATTTTCGGCGACTCTGGCCTCTGTGACAAGTTAAAATGATTCAGTGTTAGAGGATTGTAAATTATACGGTCTGTGAAAGCGTTGTTATGTTTTCTGAAAAGAGAGCAGAGAGCACCTTGAATTTGAAGATTTTCAATGTCTGTTGAAAGAGCGTTTTGGTGCAGATTGTTCGAGCTTACCTCTATTTGTTTTATTCAGGATAAACAGAATTTGAAGGATCTATTCTCCCTCTTGTAATTGAAATAACTTTTATTATTTTACTATAAATCTAGGCTTTTCCATTTTGTAGATACCTGTCTTCGAGTGTTTAAGAATATATATGGAGATCTATGTAAATAAGGAGGGCAGCCAGGGTTAGAAATTATTTTTGAATGTTGACAGGCCAAACAAATTTACAGTCAAACCAGGTCAAGCGTTCCCGTCGCTAACAAACTAATGAATTCATTAATGGGAAAATGATTTCGTTAGTTGATTCAATAATCCATTCATAAAATGAATAATCCAACGGTCAAATTGTACCTCGATTCAATAATCAAATGTTGATTTGGTTTATGAACAAAATCTACCTGTTCTTTATTCTTGTCTGTTGTGTTCAATCGTATTTGCTTCCCTTTTCCTGCCGTTTACGATTGCGTTTTTCATTGCCTTTAATCAAAATAACAGCTAGAATAGACAGACCGCAAACGCAAAGAAACTGACAAAGGCCGAGGATCGAAATCCACCAATCACCGCACATACACTGACCTCAGTTTGACCGTCGTGTTTTCTAAGAGGTCAGGCCTAGGTCTATTGCACTGATTATTGGCAGCAAACTGGCGTACATGTAACAGTTTGTTTGGGTTTGAACTTCAGAACTCATCAGCACTCGACTCTCAGAAAAAAAAGAGGAAAAAACAAAATTCTGAGGTCAACTTGTGGAAAGTGTAATTTTTCAAAAAACAGTAATCGAATCAACATTCGATTATGGAATCGAGGCTAAATATGACTATTGGATTGTTCATTTTATGAATGGATTATTGAATCAACAAACGAAATCATTTTTCCGTGAATGAATTCATTAGTTCGTTAGCGACGGGAACGCTTGACCTGGTTTGACTGTAAGCTTGGTCATGTCTAGTTACTAACCGGTCAAAATAAATTATTACCTGCCAAACAAATTTTAGCTCGGACCGGTCAAAAGACAGTAAAAACTCGTAGGTAAGAACCTGGATTTTCCCATTGCATTAACACGTACGTTCTTACAAAAATAGTTATTGGCAAAAAATTTGTCTATTTTTCTAAAATGAAAAGGTTCTTATTTTCTGCAGGAAAAAAAACATTGCAGCTTATGTCTCCCAAAGAGGTTCACCTGAATATTTTCCAGGTGTATAGAATTTTTTTTATAGATTTGAGGAAATAAAGATGTGTGTCAAATATTGGGCTAAACAGGTTCTTGTATAGAGCCTGGGGCCTAATTATAACTGGCAAGTTTAGCCAAACAGGTTCCTAAAAACCAGGTTCTTAGTCACAGCTAGGTTTTTACTGTATTGAAGACATTGTACTTTGCAGTAATAGCCAAATTAAGACAAAAATTATGTGATCGTAAATGCTCAAAAACTCCTTGTGTTCAGAGATGGGGAAATATTATAAACCAGTTTTGAGTGTGGTTATCAAGTTGTTCATTCATTGGAGGGTACAGTGTAGTAAATAATATTTCCAGGAATATTGTCAAGCTCAGCTCGTTTATTCTTAAAAACAATTCCCCATAAGAGTTAAACCAGAAATCACAACTTTTGGCTCAGTATTGTTCTGACATGTTTTCTTTGAACAATAGGTGTATGTAGGGGTGAGGGAAAATTCTTGCCCAACTAAAGATTTTATCTTATCTTCTTAGCCATGGAAGAACATGAAAGTCAGGTCCTGCAGGTTGAATGTAGCATGGAATGCTCTCTGCACTGGTGAACAAGAGCAAAGTCACTCAGCAGGTACTGATATAGTTCATGGTAGATGGTATTTATTATAGAATTGCATAATTGAGTAAAATCACGTATTCTGATTGGTTAACGAAGAGAGGTATTCAGTGTGGAATTGCGAGTTGAAAACGAGGCTAAGGGATGTTTTTTCGCATCTACGTAACAACTATCGTCAAATTGTAACACAACAACTGCAAAAAAGGTTTTCTACAATGTCATTTTAAAATGTTTTCAAAATCATTGTCACCTTTTGTATATCCTTTCTTAACATACTGAAATGTCGCCTGGTCCTCCACCTACTGTTCCAACCTAAACTGTATTTACCTTTTGCAAAAGCGTCTAGTGCGGCTCATAACAAAAGCTCACTATCTAGCAAATACCGCCCCTTTGTTTAGCCAGTTTTTAGTAAACACAGTACAAAAACAAGGAAACATAATGCAAAAATAAGGAAATAAAGTGCGAATTTCTCAGAGAATGAAAACCTGTGATTGGCTAATAAATAATCAGTGTTCTCCAGAGGTGTGGGCAACTGGCAGTTTCACTGGGAACTCTTTTCCAAAGTGCCAGCTACTCTTATGAGTCAAAACATAAAAAAAACTGTCTGTAACTTTTATCTTCAATTTTTCGTAAGTTCCATTTTTTTCCGCAAAGGATAAAATGGCACCCGAAGCAAATCGTGTTAATTCATTTCTTAGAATACTAGAACATGCAATTTCATCGGGAAAATAACAAACAAACAAAAAAGCCACAAGAGCTTGTTTGAAAGTTTATCGAAAAACACATGAAAATACATGGAACTAAAGTGCCTTGAACAGCTACAAAAGAAGACAGGTGTTGTTTATTCATGGTTGTGAAGCCACTCGCTGAGGCACTTGCCGATAGATAGCTGCGGCTTGTTTATCCGACATGAAGAATATAAATCACAAGCAACTAGAATACACGCTATGCAGCCATTCACTACAGCAATCGAGGCGTCAGTAAAGCTTCTTTTCTTGTTCAGCAAAACCAGCTTGTGGCTTCAAACAACGTCATAACAAGCGACCAAGGTAATAGTTTTTCTCCGTTGTTCTTACTTTTGTAACTGCTCCAAAAATCCAAATTCACGGTAATTTTGATGGCTGTTAAAAATTATTTTTCTTCACATTTTTTTAGCTGTCCCGCTGTGTAAAATCCTAGAATCTCGATGAGTTTTTAAAAGTGTTCATCTTTACAATGTTTTGATTTTTCATTCATCCAGTTCAGGCGAGTCGGTTCATGCGTTGACACTTCTGATAGACATGTGACATGTGAATAGCGGAACTCCCTTGTCTTTTCTGGTTTGTTCTAACAAGATTCAAAGAGATTTTGTGGGCGTTTTAAATAAAATAATTATTCCACTTGCGCTTGTTGGATGAGATGATTATTGCCAACTCGGCGCTATGCGTCTCGTTGGCTATTTTCCATCTCATATCCAACGTGCCCTCGTGGAATAATTGTTAATTATAAAATAACTAAGATAGTACGTGCATTCTGATTGGTTAAAAACCAATAGTTTATTGTGCCGGTAAAATCATAGAAAACTGAAACATACTTTAAAGTTATTTTATAAAAGTAAAAGACCACATTTTCTAAAGGTTTGCTGGTGTGATAACCCACTTGGGATGTTGGGAGAAGACTGGAAAAGCTTGTAAACCACCAGCTTAACTTCTCAGATCTCTGGGTCTCATGCCCCCAAACCCCCCCCTTAGATACGGTACTCTCGGCTTTACCAGCACTTGGTATCAGGCACCAGTTACTTTACATTGGGAGCTGGCTACTTTAAAACTTCTGGAGAACACTGAACAATAGAAATATATAAGAACCAATGAGCCTCAGGTGTCACAATCTGCTTGCTTATCTTCTTAGCCATGGAAGAACATGAAAGTCAGGTCCTCCAGGTTGAATGTAGCAGAAAATGCTCTCTGCTTGGTGAACAAGAGCAAAGTCAATCAGCAGGTACTGATATAGTTCATGGTAGATGGTATTTATTATAAAACTTAATAATATACATGGAAAAATTTCTTGAATGAGATTGGCTTAGAGCAGTGCAGTTTTTAGTAAACACAGTAAAAAAAGCAAGGAAACATAATGCAAAAATAAGGAAATAAAGTGCAAATTTCTCAGAGAATGAAAACCTGTGAACAATCAGTGTTCTCCAGAAGCGCAGGCGACTGGTGGTTTCGCTGGCTACTCTTATGACTCAAAACAGTAAAAAAAACTGTCTGTACCTTTTATCTTGAATTTTTCAGAAGGTCCTAAAAGAAACAAAAACAATAGCTTGTTGTACAAAAAGCTCGTTGGTGTATGACAATTTGCCTTTTGCTAATGGTATTATCGATATATTTACTGAATGATTTTTGATGAGACATTGCCAGATAATATTTTTTAATTATAAAATAACTAAGATAGTACATGCATTCTGATTGGTTAAAAAGCAATAGTTTATTGTGCTGGTAATCTCATAGTAAACTGAAACATGCTTTAAAGTTATTTTATAAAAGTAAAAGACCACATTTTCTATGGATTTACCAGCATGATAACTCACTTGGTTCTTGGGAGAACTCTGGAAAAGCTTGTAAATAACGAGCAAAACTTCTCAGATCTCTGGGCTTAATGCCCCCAAACCCCTCCCTTAGATACAGTACTCTCGCTTTATCAGTGCTTGGTGTCAGGCACCAGTTTCTTTGCTTTGGGAGCTGGGTACTCTAAAACTTCTGGATAACACTGAACAATAGAAATATATAAGAACCAATCAGCCTCAGGTGTCACAATCTGCTTGCCCAACTTATTAAGATTATATCTTATCTTCTTATATTAGCCATAGAAGAATATGAAAGTGAAGTCCTCCAACTTGAATGTAGCATGGAAAGCTCTCTGCCAGGTGAACAAGAGCAAAGTCATTCAGCAGGTACTGATATACCGGTAGTTGTTTATGGTAGATGGTATTTTATTATGAAAGTTAATAATATACATGAAAAAATTTCTCTGTGAATTTGATTGGCATAGAGCAGTGTACATTTTAGTAAACACAATGCAAAAACAAGGAAACATAATGCAAAAAGAAAGAAATATAATGCAAATTTATCAGAGAATGAAAAACTGTGATTGGGCCAATAAACAATAGAAATTTATCAGAACTAATTAAGTGCCACAATTTGCTGGTGGGAAGCATGTATACTTTTAAAACTTCCCCCTTTTTGGTGTAATTAATTATGCTCTGTTGTCTTACCTAAGTAATCTTTCCTTTTTCTTGTAACACTTTTTTTCTCAATATTTTATTTTATGAATTTACCTGATTATTTTTATTTATTCATTCATTGTGGGTTGTTTTTTTTTTCATTTTTGTAACCAAGATTTTGAAATTAATAAAGGTGTGGGTGGGCGTGTGTGTGTAACAAATAAGAATGTTAAAACTTTCATATATATATTTTTTACATGGACTCAAAAGAGCAGCTATATATAATGAGTGATTTTGTTACCTCTGCATTCTATCTATGTTCCTGACACATAAAAATCGCCAAAGACATAAAATAATTCATGGATATATCGATCTGAACGTGTGTATTTGTAGAAATATCCCGTACGTGTAATTTCTGTGGCAGTTATGGTTGTTGTTTAGTGATGCATATTTGTTTTAGCCTTTGTTGACTTCTGCTTTAAAATAGAAGAACTATATTTTAATTTCAGTATACTATAATACAGAGTTTTGGAGTGTGTCTTCAGATTAACTGTCTGTGGCTGGTACATAAAGGCCCAAACATTTGCCATTTTGGACTCATTTTTTTTAACAGGGACTCATTGGTTCTGGACTGGGACTCATGATTTCTCACAAGATGAGTCCCAGAATTCATCACATTTATTTGTAACAAAAACACTGTATAATTCATTGATTAGACCTTTTGTCATGTAATTCAAGTGTTGTTGTTGTGGTAAACATGACAAGTCATCATGTCTGTACTTAATTCTCCATGACTGGATTGTAGGATTTTTGTTCTGTTTGTATTTGATCGTGCATTATTATTATGGGAAAACTTACCTTAGGGTTGCATTACTTTGACTAGGACAAAGTTAAAATACATTGAATTCTCATAGAGATAATTATTTTTTGGATTATAATAATGAGTTCATTGGTTGGGTCACTCCCATTATATTTGATGACTGGTTTATGAAATATCAGCACTTAGAAAATGATTGTCAAGGTTGTTGTATTATCCGAAGTTTCAAAAGTAGAAATATTGTGTATTTTCTATTTGAAATCAGGTTTTGAGAACACTTCCACAGATACAGCTTTATAATAGTAATTCTTGTACAGTTATACAAGCATGCAGTACTAGGGTGCGAAGAAAAGGAGGTCAGTTTTGTGCTTGTCCTTCGGGAAGGCTGTAGCTTGCATCTGTTAGCCCAAGAATCACAACTCTATTATCCATCAGGCAAGATAAAAATAGAATCCACTAGCCCCATAGCTTATATGAATTGTGTAGTTGGTTAATACAAATAATTCATTTACTAGGAGAAGAGTTGGAACAACACACTCCTGCAGTAGAAAATGGCCCAATTGAGGGAGCAAGCAATGTGCAGGAAACACAGCAACCTCTTCCAGAAGTAAATAATAGTAGCCACTTAGAAGATGACCGCCTAATTGCTAGAGCAAGGGCAGTTGGTGTGGACTATGAGTTTCCAAAGCCTGGTGAAGTGGAAACGGAGGATGACAGAAGAAAAGATTTTATTTACTTGAATCAAGTCCATTCCTTTTTTCTCCAACAACAATGATATATTAAGAAACATTGTTATTATAGCTGGAAATTTCTTTTTCCAACCATGTGCACACTCATTGGTTATTGCAATGTCACCTGACATCTAACAATGAAACTTTTTGGTGCCAATATTCTCTAAGCAGGCAACATCGCAAAAATCATTCACATCAGAGGGTAACAGTGCACAATTACCCGTGAATGACCAACAACTGACCTTCCAGGGAGGTTTAATGAATTTCCATGCAGCTATAAATTTTTAAAATATTAACATCACAAATCACTTAAAGACTTGGCCCATGGGAAACAGTTAATTTTGTTTTCCAAGAATCTAAATATTTCCCAACACCATTCTCATTAGTTACTTCGAGGTCACATGACATCTAACTGTTTCCCACCACAATCTCTGAGGAATTGCCAGGCTAATTGACCAGCTGCGGTGGAAATTGGAGAATGACTATATGAATGGTTAGGTACGTTAGGTACAGTGCCAAAGTTGCATTGATAACTGTGGTGATCTTCCTGAATTTATTTCTTCATTCTGCATTGCCAGTATATGAAATTAATGTATTTATTATACCATATATAACTTTGTTGTGTGAATTCACCTGGGATAAGTTAATCTTTTCTTGTGCTGTTTTAAAGTTATAGAGTTTTAGTTTTAGTTTCAACTTTTAAGACCTTTTTCTTTCCTGCTCTTTAAACCTTATCTAACTACGTGTTACTTTTTTCGTAGTTTTCTTTGACTCCTCTTCTTCCTTTGTCGGGAGTGGGTTGCGGCTACACGTAGGCTAGATTACATCCCGATACCGACTGGGGGGTATCAGTATTTGCAACGAGGTTATATCGTATTGTGTACCAGTGCGAATAAAACGATCTTCATCATCATCATTATTATCGTTATTATTATTGTAATGAAATCGGGAGCTCCGCTTTTAGGCTTGGCTAAATCTATATATTACATCTACGATTAGACTATAAGGCTATAAAGGTGATCGGAGATTTACACTTGAAATGTATTATATATTGCTGAGTTTTGTCGATTGTGCTCCTAGGCCTTATCATGGTGGTTTCACATTGCTTTTGGTCCCAAAAATTATGTGAAAGGCATGGACATATAATGATACTGTGTAAAGATCAGATTATTAAACACGGATCGTGCCGGCAACATCATGCGTGTACTTCCGTTTTTACTTTACTGGCCCTTTGACCGTTCATGTCGGTTCATGTCAGTTGAACTCTCGCTGAATTAAGTCAAAATTTGTCAGTGAATTTGTCGGTACTGACAAACCGACAAAATTTGTCAGTTGTCGGTTTGTCGGTTCATGTCAGTTGAACTCTCGCTTAATTAAGTCAAAATTTGTCAGTGAATTTGTCGGTACTGACAAACCGACAAAATTTGTCAGTTGTCGGTTTGTCGGTTCATGTCAGTTGAACTCTTGCTTCATTAAGTCAAAATTTGTCAGTGAATTTGTCGGTACTGACAAACCGACAAAATTTGTCAGTTGTCGGTTTGTCGGTTCATGTCAGTTGAACTCTTGCTTAATTAAGTCAAAAGTTGTCAGTGAATTTGTCGGTACTGACAAACCGACAAAATTTGTCAGTTGTCGGTTTGTCGGTTCATGTCAGTTGAACTCTCGCTTAATTAAGTCAAAATTTGTCAGTGAATTTGTCGGTACTGACAAACCGACAAAATTTGTCAGTTGTCGGTTTGTCGGTTCATGTCAGTTGAACTCTTGCTTCATTAAGTCAAAATTTGTCAGTGAATTTGTCGGTACTGACAAACCGACAAAATTTGTCAGTTGTCGGTTTGTCGGTTCATGTCAGTTGAACCCTTGCTTAATTAAGTCAAAAGTTGCCAGTGAATTTGTCGGTACTGACAAACCGACAAAATTTGTCAGTTGTCGGTTTGTCGGTTCATGTCAGTTGAACTCTCGCTTAATTAAGTCAAAATTTGTCAGTGAATTTGTCGGTACTGACAAACCGACAAAATTTGTCAGTTGTCGGTTTGTCGGTTCATGTCAGTTGAACTCTTGCTTCATTAAGTCAAAATTTGTCAGTGAATTTGTCGGTACTGACAAACCGACAAAATTTGTCAGTTGTCGGTTTGTCGGTTCATGTCAGTTGAACTCTTGCTTAATTAAGTCAAAAGTTGTCAGTGAATTTGTCGGTACTGACAAACCGACAAAATTTGTCAGTTGTCGGTTTGTCGGTTCGTGTCAGTTGAACTCTCGCTTAATTAAGTCAAAAGTTGTCAGTGAATTTGTCGGTACTGACAAACCGACAAAATTTGTCAGTTGTCGGTTTGTCGGCTCATGTCAGTTGAACTCTCGCTTAATTAAGTCAAAATTTGTCAGTGAATTTGTCGGTACTGACAAACCGACAAAATTTGTCAGTTGTCGGTTTGTCGGTTCATGTCAGTTGAACTCTTGCTTAATTAAGTCAAAAGTTGTCAGTGAATTTGTCGGTACTGACAAACCGACAAAATTTGTCAGTTGTCGGTTTGTCGGTTCGTGTCAGTTGAACCCTTGCTTAATTAAGTCAAAAGTTGTCAGTGAATTTGTCGGTACTGACAAACCGACAAAATTTGTCAGTTGTCGGTTTGTCGGTTCATGTCAGTTGAACTCTCGCTGAATTAAGTCAAAATTTGTCAGTGAATTTGTCGGTATTGACAAACCGACAAAATTTGTCAGTTGTCGGTTTGTCAGTTCATGTCAGTTGAACCCTTGCTTAATTAAGTCAAAAGTTGTCAGTGAATTTGTCGGTACTGACAAACCGACAGAAATTTTGCATTCGTTTGCCGAAAAGAGGATTTGTAAAGGTTGAATAAAAACTTGAACCTTATGATAGTGAGAAACACAAAACGGTCTAAAGGTGACGTCATTTGGTGATCCGCAACACCAAGAAACCACCTAAACTCCTTCCCTATCGGTTGTTAATGAAAAAAATTGAAGAAATTGATGTTGGGGAATTTTATTCAATAAGGGAAACCCTATGCCACGACCTTCCACCTGATCAGCAGGTTGATGGGGTCTATAGAAACCTGGAGAACTTTTTACTTCTGCTGGCCAAGTTCTATTTTGAGACTGATCAGTACAGGAAACCTGGGGATAAGCTGGTGTGGTTCAGTGAGAGGGAGGGAGCATTTAAGGTTGCCATAGGGGGTGATGGGGCTCCTTTTGGGAAATGGGATCAATCTATGTCATGGCTGATACGTTTTTTGAATGTGGGGCCCAGGGTAGCTAGTCCCAGTGACAATTTTTTGCTTTTTGGAGCTAATTGTAAGGAGGACCACATGGTTGTTTCTCGTTTTACAGTGAAACTTGCTACAGACATGGAAAAAATAGAGAGTAAATCTTGCACAGTATTGGGTAAGAATGTCACCTTTTCTTTTGATCTCCTGCCAGGAGACATGAAACTCCTTGCATATATAAATGGGGAATTAAGTAATGCGGCTAAATATTTTTCTAGCTTTGCTAATGTCTCCAAAGATGACTGTAATGCACTGAATGGGAAGTATGGAGAATCTCATGATTGTAAGTGGAAGCCTTGGCAGTATGCAGAAAGAATCAATGTTGCAAAACAGGTTGAAGATTTCAAGAAAAAAGTACCTAGTCATTTAGCAGTATCAACAAAGAGATCCAAAGTAACTCAATTTATTGCTGTAAAAAAATTCAGACAAGAATTCAAACCATTGATTGGTAAGCTATGTGACAAGGAAGTTGTTGAACCACTTCACCTTAAGAATAATGGTGTCCAACATTTTCATGCAATGTTACTTGATCTTGCTATTTCTGTAAGTAACCTCCCCAAAAAATTAAATAGCCTTGATGATTTGCCCTCCAATTTGGCAATGTCCAGGTATTTAAAGGCCATGGAACAAGATGTTAAAGCAGGGAGAATGAAAAAACAACTAGGTAGGTGGCTCCTTGAGGACAGAGCTAAAGATAAAGACTTCACTTACAGGTTAACTGGTAAAGATTCGCGCCTAATCTTGCATGGCTTTATGTATCTAGTGAAAGCAATTCAGGGTGACTCAAATGATCCCAAGTTGATAATGCGACTTCTGCCAATTGTCTTCATTGGTATTCGACTCAGGGTTTTTAGGTATGGTAATAAAGATGAAACCAAGGAAAAATAAAAATTACTTGAGATAAAAAAAACTAACTACAACATATATATATATATATATATATATGTTGCTACCTCAACTCATTAGTAACTGTATAGAAAACACTGTTCCCTCTTCAATGATGAAGGATACCAAAGGCATTCCAATGGCCATAATGGAATTTCAATTCCAACATTTCTTCTTTATATTTATATTTCATAATTCCATTCTTCCTTTCATCAACAATGAGTTCACTTCCCCTTTTCCAACTCCTAGCTTCTTTGTGAATCCTTGGCAGTCCTCAAATTTATTAAATAAGGCACACAGTCTTTTCATACTTGAGAATGTTATTGTGACTGAATAAGGCTGCTCCAAAACATCTACACCAAAACGTGTAAGATTTAGTGGATATTGATAACTTGTTTATTAATATAAGTCTAGACCGCTACCTGTCGACGGACATAGGGTGCCGGGTCTGGTGAGCCAACTTGCTACATTCTATCCAGGCTATTACACTAGTACAATGGTATGTGCCTGAGGGTCACAAGGTTGTGACTAAGACGTAAAGTATGTCCCGTGATAGTCATAAGACTAACACTAGCCTATCAGATAGCCTTACGCAACTTTCCAGGGTGTATCAAGTTAGTCCGATACAACCAGCAGTCATAGCTTTTACACAAGCGCATCTATTGCAGCAAGCTTTATTACAACTATCGGGTTTTAGCCTTGAGATTAAATTTTGATTATGGACAGCAACAGTGAGTCTGTTATCAATATGGAAACTACATCAAAAAGAGTGGCGAGATGCACTGGCTGCAAAACGCCCATTGACGACCACCATTGGGGCATCCCATCCCGATTCTGCGATGGCTTTGAAAAGTGCTCCCCCAAGAGAGAGGTCAAAGGCG